CTGTTAAATGGAACAATTATGCATGTAGAACCAAGAGGGCTGTTTTTGACTTGGAACAGAACATTACCAATTGAATAATCAAAATAGTCAGTAAGGTCAAACTGAAAAATAATTGTAATGAAAATAGCCACTCGGTCTGGGCATGAAAAAAGGAAGGGATAAAATCACAAAACGTTTACTATTAGTGTACTGGCAATCTTTGCTGTACCTTTAGCCTTCTTTCCAACGAATGTATCTTTACCATCATGCACAGGTAGGACTGAAGTTATTACGCAGACACACAAAGACTTTCTGACAAATAATTGCAGTTGAGGTTTGTGGTTTTATTGCAGTAAATAGTATAAACAGATACATACCGGTTGATTTCGATCTGTGGACTCCAGTTCGTGGTCTGTGATCTGTGGTCTGGTGAGAACTGAATGTGCTCCCCCTACCTGTGTCCTCCACTTCCTGTCACCTATTTACAACCATGTGCATCTGATCACTGCCACCTAGTGTTCAAAATACTAATAGAAATATATCCAAACAAAATAAAATATCATGCCAACAATAAACATACATGGCTCCTATAATTAGTATAATTTGTGACACTATCACTACTATTGCTGTTCAACCTCACAGAGACAATAATAACTCTGTGCCTCTACCTTGTGGCAGTGAGGTGCCACTGTTGATGTCAAACCATGTCCCAATCCAGAGGCTCCTTCCTCCAGAGGCTGCATAGCAGTTTGCGATTTAGAGGACTGACCTGATGAGTCCTTTGCGGCCCAGAATATACCATCATGCATTCTGGGCTAATGAAGATTTAATTTCATTCATGATGGAGAAAGACAACCCGGCAGCGAGGGAAGCGGTTTAAAAAATGCTTCAGTTGTGTGACCTTGGTCGCTCATGTCGTGGTTTTAAATACACAAAAAACGAGACAACAACATGCTTTTACTTGTATCTCTTTATTCGGGTAACCTCTTATTATGATATATGTGATGTATTTAATATGTGAATATTACATCAATAGTTATCCCCCCCTGCCTGATCTGGAGGAATCCCACATAGTTGTCCCCAGTATGTTGCATATCAGACGTTTGATTCCGAGTTTTTGTTGTGAAAGGCATTTATTGGCGTGGGTGTTTTGAGCAGGCATTCGCACCCGCTACCTACTCTGTCATTCACGCTCGTACTCGCTAGTGTCCTCCTGCGCATGTCCTGCGCATGTCAATCACCGCCTCGCGAGTATCCAAATGTTTATTTCCGGGTTGACATGGCTCCCGTGAGGCCACGCCCACCACACATCTGCCTCACGCACGCGAAATAAAGCAGTTTATTCACAAATCAGTTATCTCTTTCTTAAATAAAATTAAATTCCTCATCACACCGCAATGCATGCTGTTATATTCTGGGCCGCCAAGGAGACATCAGAGGTGTCCTCCGAAGCCGAGACTGGAAGGCTGCATTCGTCTGCGGCATTTGAAGGAGCCGACAAAAACGAGTGGTCGCGTCGCAGTGACGCATGCAGTCTCTGAAAGGACACGGCCGCTGGATCGGGAGTTCGTTGAAGATAAGAGACAAGGTAGTCCTTCGGTCGTCTCGCAGCGGGGACATTTACGGAATTTGGACAATGGCTACCAGGTGGGGAATATGTAGCGCGGGGAAGATCAGTAACGACTTCACTGTAGCGCTGAAAACTCTTCCTCCCGAGGACCACCAGGTATGAGTATATAGAGAGTAGATAGAAACGAACGCTGCTTTCACATGCAAGACGTTTCGCGAGGATTATCAGCTTCGTTACAATCTGCTTCCAATGAAATGTTACAGAGTCACAACGAGCAGCTGAGCTAAATGCAGTCACGCCATTCATTAAATGCAATGTAAACTTCTGTTGGCAGCATTCTTTATACCGTAAGTGACGCACTAAGTGCGCATCTACACTCTCTAACCCCTCATGAGTTACGTCATTCATTATGACGTTGAGGAGGAACATATTGACAATACCGGTTCAAAAGCAGAGGGGTACAGTTTTGTCTAATGTTGAAAACAACAACAAAGTTCCACATCTAAGGAAAGTCATGTATTGAACCCAAATTGAATCTATGAATAACAAATTGCCAATTCAACTATTTTTCCATTTCTTGTGTCACAAAGAAAAGCACAGTTCCAGCATGACAACCATTAAATAATGCAGAACGTACAACGTCCAAAAAGACTCAAACAAGTACATTTCTAGGGAACAGAAGCGCGTTGATAAACAATTAACAAGACACCTCCATCTGCACTACTTGCACCTCATATTTATATTGTACATATTAGTATTATATAGTATATTATATAGTATTATATTAGTAGCATATGTTTATGCTTAGTTTTTGTGTTCTGTTTCGTTGTCCTTAATGTCTTTCTTCAGTTTTCTTTATATTCTGTTGTTTATTTGTATATCGATGTACGACAGAGCAACGTGTAACCGGAGACAAATCCCATGTAAGCCGATTCTGATTCTGAGCATTCATTCATTGTGAAAAACTGTATTTACAGGTTGTGGCTGTGGCAGCTCGCAAAGTAGAAGATGCACAGACGTTTGCCAAAAAACACGGCATCTCCCGGGCATACGGCAGCTACGAGGAGCTGGCCAGAGATCCAGATATAGGTCGGTCTTATTAGGTCGGCCGACGCGTTTCTTTTCGTGTACTGTTGATTTTTACAGAACCATCTCTCTTGCTACAGCAAAATCTGGTTTGTTTGTTTCTGTGTGCAGATGTGGTGTATGTGGGAGCTATCCACCCCTACCATCGGAGTATTTGTCTCCTCCTCACGAACGCCAAGAAGAATGTGCTGTGTGAGAAGCCGCTGGCCATGAACTCCAAGGAGGTGAAGGAGATGCTGGAGTCCGCCAAGAGGAACGACGTCTTCCTCATGGAGGTGCGGATGGACGAACTCTCGATTGCTCAAATTTCTTGTTCTCCACTTTTTACTTGCAAAAACTTTTATCGGTGAAAACAGAAAAGGGATTGCAGCATTGTTGTGCTTTTGTTTCAATCGATAAACCGTTTTCTGTCACATGTCAAACAGTTATTGGTTATCACATGTTGTGTAAGTGACAAATGCACTCAGCAATTTGTTTTTTCACATACTACTGGAACCGGTATACAACTGTAGAAAGGGCATGCCGCTCTTTGCTTTAGGCCGTCTGGACCCGATTCTTCCCGGCCTCGGTGGAGATCAGGCGGCTGCTTGCCCAGGGGGAGGTGGGGGAGGTGAAGATGGTAAGATCGGAGTTTGGCGTGCCGGTGAAACACCTGCCGAGGTCGATGCAGAAGGAGCTGGGCGGAGGAGCAATGCTGGACATCGGTATCTACTGCTTGCAGTTCATATGCATGGTGTACAATGGAGAGAAGCCCGAGTGCATCCAGGCCACGGGGGTCTGCATGGAGACAGGTGAAGACAACTCAATGACATGATTTCTGAATTTGTGTCGCCTCTATAACATCGGGAGGTGTTGCAAAAAGTCGCACATGGATTTACTCCCCCCCCCCCCCCCCCCAAAAAAACCTCCCACGATATGAGCTTTAGGAATCCTTGAAAGGCCTTTTGTAGTGGCCGAGCTGTCCAGCTCAAGCCTGCTTTCACCTGACTTTCAACACATAACAGGGTGATGGTGTCAGGACTGTTGTAAAACAACCTCAGCCATGTAAATACATCTATACATGTCTACAGCCCCATATAATAATAAATGGGAGCTTTTAAGTTGCAGCTTGTAAAGCCTTTGCCAGTTGTATTTTCTACAATATATCAATTGTTAACCAAAGGAGTGTAGCAGTCTGAAAATAATTCTCCCTTTTTATGGCTTAACTTGCACAATAAAAGTTAAGATATGCTGCACACTGCAAGTCATACGTTACATCATTTAAAACGGAGTTTCCCTCAAAGTTGAGTCATGCATCTGTCATTGCAGGAGTGGATGAGACAGTAGTTGTCACTATGAAGTTCTCCAAGAACAGGATGGCAGTATTTACTTGCTCTTCAGGTGTAGAGCTACCCAATGATGCCATTATTGTGGGGACGAAGGGCAGTATCAGGGTAGGTCATAAAAGCATTGCAAAAAAAAAAAGTTTGCATTAAATGCATGTAAAATATAAAAGGAAATGTTCGTGAACTCATGTCAAGTGTGAATAAATGTAGGAACATTAGTAAAATAAGTCGCTTTGGATAAAAGCGTCCGCTAAATGACCTGTAATGTAAAATGTGTTTGACAAGGATGCAGTATTTCCACAGTGCACTTTTTAAGTGTATGCTTGCTGTCACTAAAAATATCCTGTTGCATGCTTATTAGATCCCTGCCAATATGTGGTGCCCCACAGCATTAGTAGTGAACGGGAAGGAGAGTCAGTACCCAGTGCCAGACCCGTCTCTGCCCCTCAACTTCCTCAACAGTACGGGGATGCGTTACGAAGCAGAGGAGGTCCGACAGTGTTTGCTCAAAGGTACAGATCAAATATTCAGCAAGAATGACCTGTGCCCTTCCCAAAGTAACTAAAACAAGCATGTTATGGCAAATCAACTTGCTATACACACTTTCAACACAAGATGGCATCAGCTGCTCTTAAATGGCCATTTACCCAACATGACTGTTAATGTTCTTACTGTACGATCTCCACCATGCAGGGCTTAAGGAGAGTGCAGTAATGTCCCATGAGGACTCTCTGCTGCTGGCCGAGGTGGAGGATGAGATTCGCAAGCAGGTTGGGGTGGTGTACAGCCAGGACTGCCAGTGATTACACGCCATTTGTTAATTAGCATAAATGGTTTGTGTTCCAACTGGACTCAAGCTTCCATGTTTAGTGTTTTGATAAAGATGCTTGACATTTGTATGCTCAACTAATCACAATCTAATGTCTAACCATACAGGAAAGCACATTAAATGTTTATAGAATAAAGTTTTTCCACCAGATTCCACCTTTCAAACTTATCCATGATTACGCTCAAACAAAACATGCTAAGGCATATACAAGTAGGTGCGTATACTTTTTTTTATTGATGAAATGTAGTCTTTTGGAACAGCTCAGTACATTAGTTCTTACACTCTAGCATTACAATCAAAAGCATTTTAGACACGTGAAGACAACTACAATGGGAAACTCACATTAAGGGAGAAGCAGAAGGGTTCTACTGGTCACCCATTAAAGTCGAGAGGGAAAGGAAGTCAACCCGCCATCTGGTCCCCAATGAAAACACTACAAGTGCATATTCATACCAGTCATCAGAACCGTACATGATTTATAAGTGCCAACTTTGATATGATCCAAATGCAAATAAAGGCCAAGGCTTTATGAAACATCTAATATCACAAACACAGTAACTTACTTAAAACCCCTCTGAGGTGGACATCCAAGACGAGCATTTCTCTAGTCAGACAAAATATAAGCAGTATTGGATGTCCCAAAACAGAACCTCACCACCCACAACGGTCAAGTATAATATCAAATGTAACATGGTCTGGAGGAGATCGGGAGTGTACTTCGACACTTAAATACAGTAATAGCTGGCATTGAGAGACTACACTTCATACAGACGGCACTACAAAGGGAGCAGTTTGGGTGGAGTGGGTGCAGATCTGTAGGGGGAGCCCTTTGACCCAATAAACCACGTGTTGAGTTATATATCGGCAGAGGAGTGTGATTAGTAAACTACAGTACTCAAAAGGTGCTCTTTTAAGATCCGTCCACCAACTCCACCTGAACAAGCGCCAGCATGAGCATTCACACACTGGGTCACCTTTAATAACACGTGTTGGAGTGAATAAATACAGCGGTTTCTGGTTGGGGTTTATTAAGGCCCTGCAGACCGGTTTGATTGAATCAAAGTGAAAGGAATGGAAACGTAAAGTGGAATTTAAGGAATCAAGCCTCCACCCCAACCGTAAACATCTTTGGCCATAAGGACTATTCTTGTATTTATTTACTTTCTTGCCTAAATGATAAACAGTTTGCCATTTAAGTGGGAGCCCAGGCGTTGGATAAGAAGAGTTGTGAGCTGGAGTGGAGCCCGGAGACCTATGAAAGAGATAAAGGTGGAGGGAGAAAGCGGAGCAGCCCTTTGGGTGGTTCAAGCCACCAGAACCACACGCATGGTGTTGGTGTAGCCAGAGCCGGGGCGCCAGCCAGTCAAGACGATGACAGCGTCTCCTGCTTTGAAGAAGCCTCGGGCCTTTCCTGGAAACCAAACAAAGTATGTCAAGTCAAATTCAGAGTAAATTTTTAAATACAAAGTTGCAAATTTGAGCAAAAAAGTAGGTTTGTTTTCATTAGCTGCATACGGCTCCATTTTACTTGTCCGTCCAATCAAAAGGCAACGGATGGGATTTAAATCTCTTGTAACAGTACTCCAATATTCCATTTCACCTCACTTCTCTATTAGACAGTTGTGTAAAACCAACAGGTGAAAAGAACATACCGACATCCATTGCAAAGTTGACGCGCATGTCGACGTCCTCTGCCCACACATCGTGGGCGGGTTTGGTGTAGAGAACGGGGAAAATGCCGCGGTACAGGTGGGCTTGGCGAGCGGTCTGCGCGTTACGGGTCACAGCAAGGATGGGCGCACGTGGCCTGTATCTGGAGATCAGGTGGGCGGACCTGCAAACACACAAGGTGCCTTAACTCACTCACATTCCCCGTTAAGCAAATGATTGCAACACTAAGATTAGGGAGGCACACAAACCAACACGTTTAATGTAACACCAAGTCAAGCTTACTACAAGTGAGCATAAAATATCTTTACTTTTAGAAATCTAATACATATAAATATTTAGTAAATTATCTGGTCTGTTTGATTCTTGGAGAAAGCAATTTAATGGGATTAAAACCCTGAGCCCTACATACGGTGGTCATTTTCAGATATTTCAGCCAATTTAAAATCATTCAGTCATGTTGAATGAGTGTTTGCCACGCTGAAAAGATTCAATTGACTTGATTGAAAACAAACGTATGGAGTTGTGCGGCTCCAACCGGTGCAGCAAAATAACCGGATGGTCAGGAAAGCTGAGCAGAGGTAACACCCAAGCTGCCCGGAGAAGTCTGATTAGCCAAAATAAGTGACACCTGTTGCATCTTGGGTATGCAAAGGCTTAAAGTCAAAAAAAGCAGGTGGCCCAATCCAAATGTTCAGTCACGCTTACTCAGATTTTAATGCGCAACAAATTTCTCTGCATCTTACGGTATTGTATACAACGAATGATTCCAATAATAATTTTTAATTGGACGACATTTAATGTTCCATTGAAAGCCGTTTGGTAGCACTCAATTGGATTAAACCTCTTGTGATGTTAAAGTATGCGAAGGATGGACATTGGGTTCATCATTGACCCCACTCAATATCTGTTGCTTTCTCCACCCACCCGATGTAATTTAATACAGACGCACAGACAGACCCGCACACAATCAAAAGGGAGGGGGGGGGGGGCAGGTCTGAAGGAGCTAAAAGGAGCTGCGTCGGCGACAACCTTACCTACGGGACCGGCATCATCTCCCCTCCCCCAGACTAGCTTACCTTCCGGTCTCAGTGACAACAATCACGGCACTAGCGCAGCATTTGAAGGACGACTCAACGGCGCCAACCGCTACGGCCTCTGAGGGGTCTCTGGTCAGGTAGGAGTTTCTCCTCAGCTCCTCAAACAGTTGTCTGTGGAAAGTGGCTGCCTCGGCCTCTCGCGCTATCTGAGCCCAGAGGTGTCACGAGGGAAGGGTGGGGGTGGTGGGGTTACTCTCGGCCACACACATTCACACAACTGACAGTGGCCGGCAAACGTGTAGCTAGACTTTTGGTTAAAGGTTGGATGATGGGATAAATTGAGAAAACCAAAGACTTAAAGGTTTTGGATCAATGTCTGAATTCGATCTTCTAAAACCGGGCGCTTGAATTTCTCCACCAGTAAAATCAACCAGTAGTCTACTAAGCGTTTGCCAGGCTCTTGCAGTTACTTTATCAGTCAGTCCCTTTGTGGCCCTACTCTCGCTCCCTCCTTAAGCATTGGCATTAGTCCTCACCGACCAGCTAGGACCAGATAACCTGCCTACCTTCCAGAGCCAGTGAGGACAATCATCGCCGAGGCCAAGCTCTTAAAAGAGGCCTCAACGGCGCCGATTGCAATAGCCTCAGCGGGGTCTTTGCAGTACGGCGTGGAGCGACGCAGGTCCTCAAACACCTGCCGGTGGAACATGGCCGCCTCGGCTTCACGAGCAATCTGGCACAAGTGAGGGCAAGATGCATCAAGCAAAGGCATTCCCACAGACGTAAAATGAGGATAGAACAGGAGACACGGGGCAATGTTAGAGGCACACAAGAAGAACCACAGTTTAAGTAGGAGGGAGAGGAAAAATGACATAGAATAGTTTAGGTGGTCAGTACGGGGGAGGAACAGGGAAACATTGGCGTTAAAACATATCCAAGAAAATTATTTCAAACATTTAGGGCTTTAGACATAAAAAAATAAAATCTTACTATGTAACATGTGCTGATCCGAGTTAACGCAACTCTGCTGCTGAGAACCTTTTACAAAAGGACTATTAAAGCTAAAGATAAAATTATAAAGCACGATAATGAGAGCCAAGCTTAAATTACTAAACGGTAAAAAAAAAAACGGGTCAACTAAATATTAAAGAAATGGTTAAAAGCTGTTAGATTGAAATAAGTGAGTAGTCAGAGTTGGTCTAGGAGATATTAAGAGAATGGGAAATCTTCAGAGGTGTTAGGTCACTCTTTAGCTGGCCAGGAACAGCACACAAATTTGGCAGGACGACAGCAAGCTAGAAAAGGCAAGAGCTGCAGTGCTGCTGAGTCACTTCTGCATAGCAGTGCAAAAACACGCAGGCGAGCACAGTGACGTTAGCGGAGAAAGGCCTGAACAAGTCAGCATTTAGTGCATTACGCATCCCCGCAACTGAAGATAGCTAATTCTCCACAGTGATGGCTTCAAGACCTCTAGATAGATTTACTTGAGTCTGTCCCTGTCTTGTTATTGATCCATTATTAAACATTTTGGAAACACAAACAGCACACATTTTCCAGAATAAACACATTATTCCAGTCCTCTATGTGCAAAATTAGTTGTTTTTTTGCATTACTCATCGCTGATGTTCCTGCTCCCTCCACAGATGTTATTTAAGAGCATAAGTACACGTAGCCAGGGGCGATTCACCGTGCGGTGTCAAGTCTTGTTTGATAAGTTTAGGTCTACTGTAAAAGATTAAGAAAGGCTGAGAAGAGCAGCATAGGGAATTTGTTACAGGCTACAGGTATTTACCTGTAGAATTCTCTTTGAGCAATAATACTTGTTATAATTTGTACACTCTGGTATGGAACACTTTTCTATTATCTGTATTTCATAGAAAAATGAATTTACCATGTGCTGTGTGCGTACTGCCTCCAGAGGATAGTCTCCCTTGGCAGTCTCTCCGCTCAGCATGATGCAGTCGGCTCCGTCCAACACGGCGTTTGCCACGTCACTGCCCTCAGCGCGTGTGGGCCTGGGCTTCTTGATCATGCTCTCCAGCATCTGAACGTGTTCAGAAGGGTCACATACAGACACAATAAATGCTAGAATTACATTTTAGGTAGATTACATTTAGACTGCCGCCTTCACATTCTCATGAATACAGCTACAGGCACCCCAGTCTTTGATCAAATAAACCGTAGCTTTTTGGCGATAGTATTGCTGGACAAATACAGTACATACTTTGCTTTTATCTAACCTGAGTGGCACATGTGATCGGCTTTCCAGCTCTGTTGCAGCGACCGATCATCATCTTCTGGGCTAGGAACACCTTCTCTGTGGGGATCTCAATACCCAGATCGCCACGGGCAACCATGATGCCATCGCTGGCCTCCATGATCTCGTCAAATCTGCACAGGAGAGAAAATTACAGCCGTAAGAGGCATCAATACTATGTGAATGCACAGGAAATAACTGAATGACCAAAATAAAGATTAAAACACCATCCACACACACCTGCGTACACCCTCATGGTTCTCAAGCTTGCTGATGATCTTAATGTTTTTGCCTTTCTCTCCCAACACTGCTCTGACAGCGTGTACGTCTGCTGCTTTACGTATGAAGGAGGCAAAGACCATGTCGACTCCATGCTCCACACCAAACTGCAGGTCCTGGATGTCCTTTTCGGAAACGGCAGGCAGGTCTACGGCGGCACCAGGGAGGTTCACTCCCTTCTTGCTACCCAGGGTGCCCCCGTTCTCAATCTCGCACACAAGGAAGTCCGAACCTGGAGAGACAAGGAGCCTTTAATTTACGCACAGCGGGGGTATTTTCACAAGTGCTTTTATTTGGGGTTTGCTCCTCCTCCACTCACCAATCTCCTTGACCTGAAGGGACATGAGTCCATCATCAATGTAGATCTTGCTGCCGATTTCGACTACATTGGGAATGTTCTTGTAGTCCAGCCAGAGGATCTCCGCACTGCAGTTCTCCTGATAACTATCATCTAAGGTTATCTTGATCATGTTGCCCTTCTTTAGCTCCACCTCAGCAGTTCCACTCTGTCAAATTAGAAGATAACAGTTGGCTTTAGTTTCATCCACAGCTAATAAAGCAATTTGAAGATGACTCATTCTAAACTCACCCCCTTGATGAGGCCAGTCCTGATCTCTGGGCCCTTTGTGTCCAGGGCAATGCCGATCGGCCTGTATTGGATGCTGCCAGGCTCGAAGCTCTCGCAGGCCGTGCGCACATTCTTGATGGTGTCTGCATGGTACTACAGAAAAGTAGGACACATGTTGAAATACCGCCATTATTCTTTTTTGATGACACATGTGACCTTAATATCAAACTTCTTATTTTGCACACATTGCAATGGAAATAAATCTCATTATGCAGAGGCAATGGTTTTATATTCAGCAAAAGTCAAGGTCAGTTTAGGGCAATTAAAAGATAAGTTGATAACAGTAATAAACACGAGTCATATTGTCATCACCATATGACTACCACCATAGTCATAAGGTTCTTTCTACCACTTGAACTGGCATGTAAGTAACTCCTAATATGTGCACCAAGGACACTAATCAAATGCCAAGTAAATGTCATGAGGTCATTGGAGACCCCAAATATAAATTTGGGTTATTAGATATAGAATGTGGCTTAAAATGCTTTGTGTTTCTCATGAGAACATTCCTGTTAAGTGGTGTTGATCGGTCTTTTAGAAAGTCATTTCTCATGTGGTCATAAATTGCAGGCTAATGGACATTTAGAACAAGAGCCGCGAGTCGTTGCCAAAGCAACACACGGCTTAAACGTCACACCTGGGTAACCAGAGCTTTCAGTAATTACTTAAGTGGCAGGTGATGACATTGGCTGCCTTTCACAATGACAACAGAGCTAACAGTCCTTGCTGCACTATGACTAAAAGAAAGCCTGGCTGCTTGCACCAAGTGCAAAAAACAAAACAAAAAAGAATCCATAATTAGAGCTCAAGGATGCTGCCAAAATCCTTGAAACTTCAGTTAAGGTTAAGTCTCCTATTGCTTGGCGCTGTGAGTTTGAAACAATCTTTCTTTAGATATAAAATGAAGTTGAGCAAAATAATTGTTTTTTGTTGTGTAACTGCAGTGAATTTAGGGCAGGTAACTTTTAACAAACTCCAGTTACGGTTCTATTTTCCTCTAGGGTTATTAAAAAGAGGGTATAGTATTTAGGGCGATCTAGAGGCAATAATTGAATAACTCATTTAGCCGGCCGCCATGGTGCTACAGTAATTGTAACTCACAACTTCACCTTCAGATGTCACCAAATCCTACAAAACTGCACCATTAACTGCTTGGATTTGATACCCAATATACTTTACACTCTAAATTAGAGTGACCTTTGTGTTTATACGTTTGACATGACATGTGAAGTCTAAGCGTGATGCCAGCGGAGGAGATAAAGGCCAGGAAGCTACAGATACTATTTATAGTAGCCCAAGCCAACAAAGCTGATTTATTTGGCTATTTTCCAAAACTCAGCTTTTGATCTTATTGAAACAAGCAAACCCACACAAAAGAGAAGATACTTTCAAATCAGGAGGACATCACCATCTCTCGTTTATTTATTGTATGGACAGCTAATTTCCTTTGACAAATATCTGAATTAATATTTGATCTTCTGGGGCTATTGGATGCCATTCAATTGAAATAAGTTGCATGATCTTCCATAGTTAAATTGCAAATTAATCCATTTTATATCTATCTTACCTCTATAAGAATGTACGCTGAAAGGGATAAAATACAACATGGGAGTATTTATTTTTAGAACTTTTGACCGAACAAAAAAAATTAAATTATAACATGTCCAACCCAAGCACAATGAGAAACAAGTCTCAGTGTGCTGACAATATGTTTAGAGTACTGAATCTTCTTGCATGTTCAATCTGTTTTAAATAAAGCAGGGACATTTTATATTTAGTTATTGTGCTTAAATAAATGTAGAGGGTCGGGTCAGGTTGTCAGACAGCACACGGGAACTGACTGCCAAGAATATATGAACTAGCGGCAGTATGCCAGACTCTTATATTTGTATTACTTAGATTTGGTCACTGAAACTATCTTGGGGAATAAATCCAACTCATTGAAACACTTTGCTCAGCTAGCCTGATCAATGAACTATACCCTATTGTACCCTATGGTTGAATGCACTTCTTGTACGTCGCTTTGGATAAAAGAGTCAGCTAAATGACATGTAATGTAAATACATAGATCTGTTTTTTTAACCAGTTTGGTGCTCAGGTGTATTGACTTCAAAGATTATTTGCCTTGTGTGACATAAATACTTGTTATAGCTACATAACTAAATTGAACTTGTTAGTTAACCCAGATTTTTAATCTATTTTTTCCCCATTCATGCTGGTTGGCCAGGTCCAGTGCAAAGTGTTTAAACTTTATAACGTGCTTTTGACCCTGAGCATTGTTATCATTAAGAGTTTCAAACACTGCTTGAAAAGCTACCAAAGATCAATATACCAATCTTTAAAAAAGCATCCATCCATGTTTGACTTGAATTATCAGCACTGTGAGCGTGAGACAATGTGACTTGTTAGCTGGACCTGACCAACACAATCACATAGTGGACAGAATTGTGCAAAGACCCACCTCATGTGTGCCATGGGAAAAGTTCATGCGAGCAATGTTCATTCCAGACTTGATCATCTCCTGCAGCATATCCACAGAGCGGGATGCTGGCCCTGCAGGCAGTTATCAAAAAAGAAAGTATAACTTTTAAAATGTTACATTTACTATCAAGTGTTACACATTGTAATAAACACATATAATGTTGCAACCTTAGCAGTAACAATGTGGCAGCTAAATGTTGACCAACCGATGGTGCAGATGATGCCAGTATTGCGAGCGGTGGTGGGCTCCGAGTCGATGTCCAGCAGGCACATGTGCTCGAGGAAGGTGTCGGCCATGGCAGCGTTGAGCTGCTGAGTCTGGATGAAGGCAGAGCCCATGTCTGGAGACTTTAACTGAGGCATGGCAATCACTGGTGAAACTGGAGAAGTCCTGCAGAAGAAAAAAATATTGAGGACACAGCAATGGCAACGGATCGCTTTCTCATATTTACCAGCTTGCCCGGGCTCCCTTAAATTGGTTCGATAGTTATCAGCCACACTCACTCACTGAACCCCCCCTCTGGATGCACCGTAGTTGTATTTATGTAGTTCAGAGTGGAGCGAGAGATCTCTGGTGACGAGTATTTGTCACACTGAGGTAACATTGGCAAGCAAATAATGGCCAAGTCCTTTGCAACATACTGTAGCCAATTGTGCAGTGTGGCTGTGGTTTGTGATTGTGAAAGTCCTGCTGGGAATCAAATGTTTGTTGCTGATGTAAGACGATGATCGGGCTTATGATATGTAGCCACTGCAATTCTTTTTAAACAAAAAGGTTGTATTTGGAGTTAACTTTCACAAGACTATCCTTTATTCAGCTGGTATTTGCTTTAAAGGTTGCTCAACCAGCAGCGTAACAGTGACTACATGCATGTATAGTCATGACAAAAGGAAAAAGAAACCTCGTTTCAGTGAGGCTCCATTTTTCTGACAATTTCAACATGATACATGAATGTTGATCAAACATAAGGTAAATGAGCAGAGTAGTATAGCTTATTGAATTGTGACACCATATTGTACATTCCATTCCCACCCACGGCAACGCCATCACTCATCTACAGGGCTGGAAGTGCCAGATTAACACTAGTCTTACTTGAGACAAAAGATTACAAAGTACTGTATATGAAATCCCAAAGGAGACCACGGCAACATTTTGAAATGGCTCAATAGTGACATGGATTGACGTTTGCCTTGTCTCTTCCTTTTTTGCCTTTCAGTCTAAACCCGAGAGGATAAGACGTAGCAAGGCTTCTCTAAAATGAAGAAAGTAGGATCTGAAACTAGCAGGATTACTTTATCAAAAAAAAATGTAATGACTTCATACCAAATGTGATAATGCACCTGTACTCAAGTGTGGTTGATGTGCCCACTATATACACCTACTTTTCACAAATAATATTTTACATCAACTACAAAAGAAAAAATAGTTAAAGCACATTTCCATGATTAAAGGACATTCCCAAAATAAAAATATATCATGTAAGATGCAGAAGTAATTGGGGGGGGAAATAAAAAAAATACATGACCCCCTGCCAAACTAACTTCAGTCCAAACCTCCCAGTGGAGATTTAGTTCCCTCGGTTTAAATTATACATTGACGCGCACTTCAACAAAAGAACTCACTGGTTCCTTCCTTGGCAGAACAACAGGCTAACAAACTAATATCACTACTAAAAGGGGAAAATCCTTGAGTTTATTCTAGTCACCACTACACTCAAACCCTGTCCTGAATAACAGACTAAGCAGGAAGTCCAAGTGGGAACACGCGACAGCATGTGACCCAGCCGGGTGTCTGCCATCTACAGTGTTAAGTGTTGGAAGTAGAATTTACAACAGAGATAAGACAATTTGCATCATTCTGGAGATTCCACTATACCGACAGGCTGGAGCTGCTGGCTGATTATGTAACGGGCCGGGCCAGTGCTCTACGTGAGCTCAGTCACATCCCACTACTGCAACAGTCTTCTAAAGGCCGGGGGCAGACAGCCGAGTGGGCTGAACCACTAGGAAAGACTGCAGAGGGGGGGGGGGGGTTCCATGTGGTTTTCTCCCAGCAACATCCTGTTTTCATCAGTCACACTTTATTAATGGGGACATAGGGGGCAATATTTAATTAATTAGATTGATATTTTAATGAAATTACTCAGAATATTACAAGTTACCGAGAGTGTGCAGTCATTGTAGCCTGTTAATGTTTTGAGCTTTAGTAATTTAGAGGGGATTGATTAATTTCATGGTGACCAATAGTTACCGAAACTTACCATTTCAATATATTTCTGCAGACAACGCAACACTGACCGTTGCAATTGCAAAACCGAAAGAGGATGCGCACGTGCCTTAGAGGGAAAAGTCAAAGTTGAAGGCAAATACCCGACAAGCCATCAACTACAAGATGCCTGATATAATACGGCCAAAAACTGAATTAACCTCCATAACATGTCGAGTTTTGGCAATGTAAACAGCGTTGTGTATGTGGGTGTGTGTACTTTAGTTACCTTGTAACCAAACATTGTCCAAGCAGTCAGTCGATACTAGTACAAAACCAGGCTCTAAGAAAGTGTTAGTGATCGCCATGAAGCCAGCTTGATTTCCAGGAAGGCTTAAAGGATGCGATTACCCTCAGCACATTTCGATGTGAAGTGTGCATCTACTACAAAATTGCCCATCATATCGTTATTTCCTGCTCTGGGTCAAATTTGATTGGCAATCAAGTCACAGCCTGAGTGTTTGTCGCTTCAATCAAAGTGAATCCTCTGGCGACCGTTATCACCCTCAGGTGAGAGCTACTTTTGGAGCCACTCAGTTGTCAGAGGAAATTTGAACTATATAAATAAACAATCTTGCTAAAACTGGTAACTTTTTAAAATCAAGGAGTAGGCTTTCCAAGTCCTTCCAGAAAGATCAAATGAAAGAATGGCTGACTAAAGAACTAGATGGCGTTCCGGACCCCAAGGCAGCCATGGAGCAGTTCGCACCAGCTGTAGTAACCCTGACACAGATGCAGCGCTAACTTTAGAGCTGCCTGCTAATAATCCCCTCCAATCCCTTAGACAACTCAAAATTATGAAAAACACTGTTGGAATATGCGCTCAACATAATTTCCGTATCACGTTTCTGTGAAACACGCCAGCCACGAGAGCATTGCCGCCAGGGTGACATGACATTTAGTAGCATTACTTTACAACACCGGGCGTATCCGAGTCGGCGCACGGAGAGTTGACGGGTCATCGGATCACTCAAAAGGAGGCACCATTTGCACCACGTACCCCCAGCAGATCTTTCGGTTCCTCCTGGGGACAAACCGGCCCGTCACGACCAATGACCTCCACAACAGGGCCAGGCCGCTGGATCTTGTAATGCAAAGGAGGGAGCCACTCCTCGCTGCGGCAGTCCTCGGCGAGCTGACCGCTGCAGTGCACACATTCAGGTGCGCACGGGTAAATCCCTTCAATAGGGATAAAGGGTACGGAAAGCACCTGCTGCGACTGGGCAATCGCCATGACCGGACACAGAAGGACATGAGACCTCCACGACGACACAGCAGGTTCACATTGACGTTACTACGCTGCTAGGTTATACAACCCCCCCCCACCCCCCCCTCCAGGTCTAAAAACAGAGTCTGGGATAATAATAACGCACATCATGCAGAGGCCGTTTGTAGAAATATAATATTTTACACCTGTAAACGCTAAACATTACATTTCGTGACCCTTCAAAAAAGGTTTACGTCCAGAATTCTACAGAGCGCTGTAAAAATTGTGTAGTTAACACATCTAACATGTTTAAAGCAACCGCTTCACATCAAACTGATGGCATGGTTTTGTCAGTGCAGTCAGGGGTGTCTGCAGTGGCAAAGGCTTTCCCACAATGGGGATTATTCCCACTATGACTCCTCAAATATTCTGCTATAGGTGGTGAGGGACTGCGTGAGAAACGCGCCAGCTGCCAGAGGCCCAGTGCACTGCACCGACAACTAGCTGGGCTGCAAATTAATTAATTAACATCCAGAACTACAGTAGACTCGACTATTCGTAATCAGCTTTTGCAAATGGATCATTACCTGCTTCTGGCAGCTGAAAAATATCAAGAGCTAAAACGGGTGTAATTAGACACGCACATGCTTTTGTTTATTTCACCAGTTCATATCTGTAGATGAAGAGTCTAAAAAAAAACTAGTCCAAGAACTCACAGTAACATAATTGATATCAGTGCATGAGCACATTTTTAAAAAGTTAAATATATTTCAGTGAGGCAGACACACCACGCACTGGTCAGCGCACAATCTCAACAGGATTCCTGTTCACTTGACATCACAACCTGCCTGGGCTTTTGAGATACGGACTCCATTTTGTCAACAGGACCAGGAAGGACACAGCAATGACTGGGTCTTCAGGTTTTGTTACACCACAGGCAATTATTTCTCACAACACAGGTGGGATACACCAGAGGCCCAGTGCATGTCCAGCTTAAGGTCACAGTGGACGTATTTGACAAAGTGGGTGACATTATCGTAATTCAAAATGGACGTATGGACCACGCATTGTCAAAGCCATCACTAGAGACGACATAAGCAAGAGAGGGTTAGTGTTGCTATTCTGTCCGTGTATTTACAGTCAACAAGTGCGGTTCTCACTGGCACCACTGCAATAAGATACTGCAGTGGAGCTGAAGAAACATATATAATTCAAACTTAGTGTCTAAAGCATAAAAGAACGAGGCTATTTGAAGTGTTCCTGGGGAACTAAGCTAGGAAATGATGAAAAGGGATGAACGTTTTCAAAAAGGCATGTCCAGACTAACGTGTCGTATGAAGAATATTAACAACGCATGGGGAGGTTAAGCGCGGATGCATTTGTATCACAAGCTAAAAAACTAGGGGTCGTTTGTAACGATACGGGGGGTCTCGCGTGTCCACTGCAGACGCATCCATGCGCTAAAGGTCACGTTCTCATCCTGCGTCACATTTTCCTGATCGAGAGCGACATCACAGAGACTGACCAATGGGAGACCGAGAAGACGCAGCCGCCACACCCACAACGGGAGGCAACAGGAAGCGATTCTTTAACGTTCAAACATTGTATGCATCACATTCTATTTAAATCGACGTTGAGGTAAAAACCAGTGTTTCTCCATAACACGAGAACATGGAGTGTTAGTTGGTTCGTTCCATAACGATCTGCTCAGCGACCGAAAAAAATAGGAAATCCTCCATTTTGGCCATCTATTAACTTAATTTTGAAATGACAACGTTTAGAGAAATACCAAACCTGGACAAAAAGAAATGGCCAATCTAACGTTACGCTACGGGAGCATCCGCGTTCAAACATTTGATTAAAACAGGGTTAGGCGTAACGTTAGACGGCAGGCTACCAGTGACCAACTCATACATTCATGGACTTACCACCTCGCAGGATGTAGCTACAGATATATTAAAGACAAAAAGGGTTAGACGGCAGATATTTGGCAGTGTCCCACAAGTTATCAGACAACTTCCTTAGAACGACGGGAGACCACGTTGTAGGCAACGTTGAGGACACCCACCTTGTCTCGCTGCTTAGAGAGATGCAACTGCCGTTGAACGCACTGAGCCTGGCTCAAGGTGATCTTGTTAGTGACTCACACCGCGGAACTACTTTCTAGGGATGCTGTCACATATCCATCCGAGAGAACGAAGATACATTAAAAATAACACGTCACCATCGCATTGTTCTAACCGCGGTCACCACAATGCATTCTAACACCTGTTTTATTTTTAGGGTTACGCTGGTGGCGAGTGGGGAAACGTTAAAAACTAATCGCGAGGCGGAATGATACGCCGATACGGAACGTGATGGAGGTGCTTCGGTGAGTTAGAGAGCCAATCGGGTCGCTTGAATGCATCAGTTGAGGACTGGCCCGGCCCACAACTCCAACATGTGACAGTGAATGGCGTGCTCTGCCCTTACACAGGCAATGCTTTTAGTTGCAATAGGCATTACTGGTACTCTATATATTTTCCACTTTGATAACCCCTTTAAATAGTGATGAGTTGGTCACGTTTGTGTGCTTTTGGAGCCATTATCCTACGGACGTGCAAATGATCGGCTGCCGAAGTGGTTCATGGAAAGAATCATCAAACATAATTAAAGCAGCGCGGTAACTGTCTTGTAAGCTATACCTATTCTCTCAAATCGGATGCACTTGATAAATCCAAAATAGCTCGCTACTTTAATGTTTGAGGCAATGCTGCCATCTAGTGATGAAAAATAATACAACAGTTTTTAGATTTCTCTCTTTTCATTGTTTTACCTTTATTCACTATTTTTAGTAACTTCCCACTGAGTATTGGGAATTACTTTTAATCTATTTATGTCGTTTAAGTATAATTATCCTGTAGTTTATCATAGTTTACAATACATTTAATTCTTTTTACAATTCAAAAGGAGGTTGTGCGCATAGAAATTTACAAAATGTAAGACACAACTGATATTGCTATACCATTACACAAAATCTACTACTTTCAAACTATATCAGAAAATAAAAATAATAGCAAATATTTGATTTCCACAAAACACAAACGTTTGAGAAACCTTGTTAGAGGTACACAGTGCAGCTATTATTATTCCCAACATTATGAATGTCATGCCTTTACTAATCAGCTGTAGTATCAATGGTTGACAGTTACAATAGAAATATTGTCTGTTTATCCAGAGCGATTGAATCTGATGTGGTGTTCAGCTCTGCTTAAAAAATGGCATACAAAATCTAAAACCTTGAAAGAAGCACAACGGTCTATTATGTCTTTACTATAGTATGGTTTGACTTTTAAACTTCACATTTGACAGGTAGATCAGAGAAATCAATCTTGCAAGGATAGTCTTTAACATACTGTTTACAGATAAAGAAAACTCCAATGCTGATGTTAATTTCCTTACTCCCTCTAGCCTAAGTGTGCACTTTAGTACACACTTCTTTCCCTGTGTCCATTGTTCTCACCTGGTTGTGTGGGCCGTGCTACCTCCGCTGCCCATGTTGCTCTAACACTGGTCTCTGGCAGCCTCTGCCTGGTTCCACTGCACACCACTACCTGAGGCCAATGGACACACCTGTCCAGGTGAGTGACAGATCTGCCATCCAGTCACCATGTCCGCTGGTCGAGCCTGTGGCTGTCAGTCAGTATTAATTGCTGCTAACCCCTGGGCCACGAGGTCCAGTAAGACAATGTGGCAATATGCTCAGATAAATCTCAGAGCAGATAGGACGTCCTAATGCTTCATTGTGTATTAGGAATACTATTATGAGTACAGCAACGGGGGCTTATGAGTACAGTAGATATAACTAAAGAGGGGATGCGTAAAGCATACATAAGTTCATCAGGCACAAATAAAAAGTATGAGTACAATAAAATAACATATTTATTAAATTATATTACAACACAGAAAATGGTGAAATAACACTAATGACACCAATTTAGAATTCAATCTTTGGTGGTCAAGCTGGGCTGGAAATGGAACAAAGAATTTAGCCTGCAAAAAAGTAAACTGAAACATTTAAGTTCTCCACTTTCACTTGTTACGGAAATAAAATATACTGACTGTTGAAAGATGTTTCATGATGTAATGTTAATTGCATTAATTAATCCTGCACTTCTTCATCCATCTAAATTCAGTGCAGCTTTATTTTTAACCCCGTAAGACAAGAGACAAAACATCCATCGCCATGGCACGCCTGCACAGTAATAGACACTGACTTATGCAATCACCCATGCAGATGCATGAATAGAGGCCGACATTTTTCCTCAGTCCTCCTCCCAGCAGCAATGCAGTCAGCTGCAGGTCACATGACTGGCTCGCCTGGACTCACTGAGCATGCTCAGAGCAATCAGTGTTGTCAGGCAAAATATAAGACAGCAGTAGCAGGCAGAGATCTGCAACAGATAAACACAAAGGCTCTCACACACACACACACGCGCGCACACACACACGCCAGCTGGATTGCACGCAGACGCGCACAACCACAAAGCGAACGGAGAGAAACACGCTGCACGATTGTTTCTCCGCTTTCTCCCAAATCCTATTTTAATGGGCTTCTTGTCATTCAAACCTGCAGTGGAATACAGACACCGAGCGGGAGCGGAGCAGGTGTGCCCTTTAAGAGGGAGAGCGGCCGACGCGAGGACGGCATCCGAGTCTCCATCCTCCGTGGAGGTAAGTGTGGACGGACGGGGGTGAGGGTGCAGAGGAGGGGGGAGAGAGAGGGGGGTTGTTAAATATCATCTGAATCTGGAATGGGGACGACGGTGATAGATGTGTTTTTGTGTGTGGTTGGGGGGGGGGGGGGGGGGGGCTCTATTGGTATGTGAGACTGTGAGACGACGGAGCCTGTGAGAGTGGTGGGGGGGGGGGGCATGGGTGTAGATGATAGAAGACGAGCTGAAGTGGAAGATAGTTACGTCATAATAGGGTGCATATCATGATGTCTGGAAGGGTGTTTAATACAACAAGAAAAAAAAAGGTAAGTAACAAGAAAAAAAGAAAGGACAGGTACCGGCAACAAAGACAAACGCAGCATTCGTGATTGATTTGATTTATGTAGACAATCAGCCAGTCCAAGGTTGACATGGGGTCAGTATTATTTGTGAGTCCAGTAAATAAATAGGAAATGAATAACCGGTGTCCAATTATTGATATTGCCCCATGCATAGCAAAGATGCCTTCATGCTTTTTAAAGGCAGTCTACCCTTTTGTGCCAAGCTCCGTTGCCATTGAGTCTTTGTTTGCACGTCTCATGAACCGTTGCCGATGAATATTAAAAAATACCTTTTATTCTTTGGGCTTGGCGGGCCGCAGACATTATAAAGTGTCATTTGTATTCTGATGCTGCAGTGTGAAATATGCAAGTCAGCATCTTGCAGCTTTCGGCGCCGTTTGAACGGACACCATGCTCCTTGTTTACATGTCTGACACAAAATGTGACGGGCCGCCATGAAATGCAGTGTGCCGTGGCCGCCTCTGTCACAGCGGCGATGCCGTTCAGCCACACGCTTCGTCTCTGATCTTGATCTCGAAAAAAACGACTATGATTTCTCAGTCAACACCGTGTGCCAACAACGCACTACTGATTTTGCAAACACATGAGTTTAGTTTACATAGTGGTTCAACCATTTGCTTTCCATTTATTTGCCAAGAGCAACAACGTCGGCCCAACAATGTTCTTACGTAATTCGCTGTGCCTCTATTACGGCGTTTAACCTTTGGCGTCTTTGTGTTAGCATATCAGATCCTGAAAAACAAACAACAACAAAGAAATAAATACATCCCGGGTACTGAACGTACAGCACATATCTCCCACTCATTCTCTCCACGGTGATTAATGCCACTCTGAGAGGAGGCAGAGATGGCTGTTGCTAGGATACATGGCAAGGTGAACGCAGACCATTTAAAGAAAAGAGGAGGAGGGCACCATTTACAAAGCACGGCAGCACTAGAGATGGCTGCTTTGTTTCATGTTCTCATCCATTACTGAATTCTAATTTCTATTTCTCTTTGGTCTTGCAGTTCTGACAAGCGCGAGAAGGAGAGGAGGGTCGGCCAAAGCTCTCCGGCTTTCTGTTATTGTTCTGCCACCTGGAAAACGGGCTGCAATGGTCGGCAGAAGTGAAAGGCCCAAACCCGTCTGAGTGAGCCTTATGAACAACAGAACCAATGGTAAGACAGCTGGGATTCTATTGTTGTAATAACCAATGCATACCATTAACCCGTGTCAGCCATTCATGGTTAGTTGAAGACAAATTAACTGGTAAATTGAGTCATGGTTATTTTTAAAGCAGTAAAAAATATATTTTTTTATTAACTCGGCACTGATTGTATTTTTAAGTGTTCCTTTGAACTCTTTATACCTGCGGTCTTTTAAAAAAAAAAAAAATAACGCCTCTTCATCCCTCTTTGAGACGCTATATAAAGCAGCGTTTTGAAGCTGGGTGTTTTGAACGAGAGGCTAAATTGGGAGATGTGAGAAAGGACGTGAGATGAAAGGACGGCAGAGAGGTTGTATTTTCTTTGCGCTCCGTTAAAATGACCTTTTCACAATGTTGGTGCCCACAGGACATCAAAGCCCAGTGTTGGACAGACGAGGAGTCGGACGGGGAGAACGAGTCAGAACAGTTCCTGTACGGCATACAGGTACAGCAACGGCACCGTATCCGGCCTTACTCTGTCAATCTATGTGTTCAATGTGGTATTTGTCCATCAATCATTATCATCTTTTTTACTTTCACGTTACCTTTTTTTTTGTTTACCAGACACTATCTTTCAGGGTATTGACCTGATCTTAGTACCAGACAATAATTGGGGAGTTATTCTTTTGATGATTGTGGATATTCTGACCAAATGTGACGGCAGTGTGGTGAATAGTTGTTTTTTCTTAGTGGTGCAGAACAGATGGACTCGCTGGCTGACATTTCTATCTAAATGACTCACCGCTGGCCAGGAAAATATTTAAATGAATCTGAAGCATTGAGATTCTAAGAACGTTTATGTAAACTGATAATAGCAAATATACTGTACTATGTAGTACTTTCACCCCATGTGACCTTAAATATCAATCTCATGCGGGAAACACTGTCAAAAATAATTTTGTGAAGTTCAACGCTTTTTTCCCCTTTAAGATTTTAATCTGTTATCATCCTATTTCACTTGTTATCTTCCAAGCCCTGTGATTGAAGGGTAAATCCAGTCTGGGATTTTAAGCTCATTTCTATGCAGTCAGAGAACATGAAAGGAGCTTTGTAAAGATAGGGATGAAAGTGTAGGGTCTTTTCTACACAGGGAGGAGAGCTGAGGAGAAGAGAGTCTGAAGTTCATGTGCCTACAATGAGAAATGTGCAAATTATTTCCTTCGCAAAACCGTTTGTTACTTCCTCTTAAGATGTTACATTACGTAACTCTCTATTTCGCTGCCAAAATTAGACGCGCTTGATGTTCGATGAGAGTTAGGAAATGGTATGGAGACGGGTCACAGAGACACCTCGAGTAGCTCAGCTCATTTAGAAAAAAATAGTGAGCTGTACTATGGACAGTGGGGTGATTAACAGTGGGTTAAAAGAAAGGATAGAGGTGTCAACGGGACGAATGGTTGAAATGACAAACAATAAATACTATTTAGGTAATTCTAATATAATGGCTTAAATAGATAGCTGAGTAATGTATAAACAATTACAACATTTAGCTATAAGCAGTTGATGAATAGTTGAAATTGATAGTTAGAGGAATTTAAAGTATATTTCTGAAGTATAGTTGTAATAATGTCTGTGGATAACTTATTACATTTTACAATGTCTGTTGAATATTCTAAGTAGACTAAGATCTTTACCACATCCATCGTTGAGATAAATGTTATAGATGGGATTGATCAGCTAGATCGAGAATAAGAAAGGGCAATTTGCCCTGAATATGCCATATTCAGCTCTTCTGGTTAATACACAACAAAGCGAGTCTGTTGTTTTACATGTATTCTAAAAACTTGACTAAAAAAAGCAACCACATCTGCCATTGTTTCTAGTTTCTATTGTTTTTGTGTACTTGCGGCGTCTGCTATCATTTACTTAGCTTTTTGTATGTGATTCATCATCTTTTAAACATTATTTTCTATTAATATTCTGCATTTTATATAACCTTCTTTGCATGATACTCGCTCTACTCCTTCTAATCGTCTTTTCAACTGTTTATCAGCTGTTTTTTTTCTTTCTCCAGACAAATTTTTATGTTGTGTGTTTCTATCACTGTTTTAATGACTAATTTAAAATCCATCAAAGGGACCGTCAGGTACAATCTAACACTCCCACATTTACAGTGATGTTGATCATTATAAATTGCCCATTCAAAATAAATAAATAAATGTCTGCAAAATGATGGGCGGTGCACCTGAAGGGTGCTTGGATTCCTCTGAGAAGGCTTTGCATGCTGCTTGTCACAGGGGAGCTGCGCTGCCGACCTGTACCGCCACCCTCAACTGGATGCAGATATTGAGGCAGTAAAAGACATCTACACTGACAGTGCTGTCTCTGTGAGGTACAGCACAGATACACAGCACATCGCACACTCACGCACACGGGCACAAATTCAAAGTTGGTGTTTTCTAATGTTTTTTAACAGAATTTTTCAATGCAAAATTCAGAGCATCACTATTTGCATCCACACGGCGCCAACCGGTGCCGGTGGCTAGCGTCTGGTGATGCTAACAGTGCTAACAGCCAAGTGACGGCAGTGTAGAGCGGCAGATATTTGCTGACCCCTCGGGAATACCCACATGTGCTAACAATCCCAATCCCTGGGATTACAACGCACACAGAGGGAGGGTAACACAATGCTCTGCTCGGATAGACATTAATACACTAAACCTTTCCATTGCAAATAGTTGTTTGATGCTACACTAATGCTCTGAATATTATAAAGATAACCTTTTAACTAGCCTTTTTTTGGATAAATATTTTATCTTTCAAGGGATAACCATTTGAAAGTGTTGGATTTAATGTAATCCATTACCTACAACACATCAGCTGTGTCTGTTGTGTCTCTGAACAGGGAGTATGGAACCATTGATGACGTGGACATCGATCTTCACATCAACATCAGCTTCTTAGATGTGAGTCAGCATTCTCCTCCCTCTGCACCCCCCCCATGTCCATTTTTATTCCAACGTTGACATATTGCAAAGTAACACATCATTTATAATGGATTGTATGCTCATAATTTATTTATGTAATGAGAAATGGCCCAAATTAGGATGCTAACTCTGTATATGTGTGTGTATGTGTGTATGTTTGTGTGTGTTTGCGTTTGACTCAGGAGGAGGTGGCGACAGCTTGGAAAGTTATCAGAACAGAGCCCATTATTCTGAGACTGCGCTTTTCTCTTTCTCAGTACCTCGACGGACCTGGTGAGTAAAGATGTCAGTGTGGATGTTGATTGATTTTAGGTATTAGCTCCACTCACAGAGCGCAGGAGGTGAGTACAGTATGTGCTGTACAAGAGGGAGAGTGATAGAGATCGTCCGTGTGTCTGTGCACTGTGTAATGGTGTTAGTCATCTTTACTCAGAGCCATCAGTTGAAGTGTTCCAGCCCTCCAATAAAGAAGGCTTCAGCTTGGGCCTGCAGCTCAAGAAGTAAGTCATGTGATTTGCATCATGCAAAAGCATGCGATGCAACAGAAACACCAATCACAGATGATTTATTTTTCAGTGTTTGGTTGCCTAATCCAGACATGGAAAAAAATGGCAATACATCCAAACAACAAAAGTAGGTGATTTAAGGAGTATAATTCACTCTGTTACATATCTGCTTGGCTCTCCTTATTTGTACCATGGCAGGATCCTGAGCACATTCACCTCACAGCAGTGGAAGCACCTCAGTAATGAGTTCCTCAAGGCCCAGCAGGAGAAGAGGCACAGCTGGTTCAAAGCCGGCGGAACCATCAAGAAGTTCCGCGCCGGGCTCAGCATCTTCTCCCCCATACCCAAGTAGGTCTCTTTACCACTGTATATATATATATAAGGGCCTTCACACCCTCGTGCCTGTGTTTCATGTACGGCATGCACGGCGACAATTTTTGGCCAATGATATTACGGATACATATGCTTCTAATTTCATTACAAAATGAACATGTCTGTTGTTTCCAGCAATAGAGCGCAGAAGTTATACTGATATTGTGAGGCTTGGTTTTAATACGGATGTCTGCAAGCACAGATTCATTAGTAATTGTCTTGATTTATTTTCTATTATATTTCTTATCTGAACAATCACTCAGGGAGAAGAGCACGGACTAATTAATCTCAACTGTATTAAGGCTATTTTTATGTTATTTTGGCATTTTTGTGTGCTTTAGTTTTCAGTAGGTAGATATTCCTGTAACTCAAGTTCATTTTTGATTTTTCTAAAGACGTTTTTATCGGTTGTTGACATAACCTAAAGGTCGTAGATTAAGTTGCTCGATTTTCAAATGGTTGTTTATTGTCATTAAGGGATTTTTAATAATTATTGTATATGGAAATCTGTTAGTCTGTACTTGGACACAAAACATTCTTAACACTTCATCCTAGAGATTATCCTGGCATTTTTGTATTAGATATATTACGATATCCCTAGATTATGTCGTATTATTTCTTCTTTTATGAAGTACTCTATGTCTTAATTTAGGAATACATGTACTTTCAAACTAATGAGCTATTTTCCGAGATGAAAGATTTCCGGTTTGGAGATGAAGGAAAGACTTGAACTGCAGCAAATACGACACGCAGGGAAAAGAATCTCTGACACCGCATGTTGCGGATAGATATAAACCTAAAACATGACACGCTCAAACCAACCTCCCCAAACTAGGGGGCGAAGTACCCTTCTCAGCCCCTTTCTGGCTCTGCAATGCTTTGACAGTTATGGGCGCACAGGGATTGAATCCCGGCCCACCCGACAGAGGTCAGGCTCACTAACCGCTCACGTGGTGACATCCTCGCAGGAGTGTCATGTCAAGACTGCACACGTGTAATGAGAGTGATGGTGGAAGAAGTGGACCCTGGTTCAGTGTGGGACTCGCGCTCCCGCACAGACAGATGTCATGTATCAAACATAGTATCAGAGATTTTGCTACTGTGGAAAATGTCCGATGAAGTGATGCACATGAGTTGTGTTTTGCTCTTTTCCAGGTCTCCGAGTTTTCCTCTGATCCAAGACACAGTTCTGAAAGGGAAGCTGAGCGTCCCTGAGCTGAGAGTGACCCGCCTGATGAACCGCTCTATCTCATGCACCATGAAGAACCCCAAAGGGGAGCTTTTCAGCTACCCACCAAACAGCCAGGTCAGTTCCCGTTTGAGTAGCTCAGCCATGCTTCTCTCACAGTTAGGCACTATTGATTTTAACTTGAGTAACTGACAAATTGCCACTATCCTCCCACTTATCCATTGAACGTGTCTCACTCACATCTCTAGCTGCTGTTGTAGAAAGTCACGATGCCATGACTTAAAATGTTCAATGTTAATTTCACGGCACTATATATTTCTGTTTTTAATCCACTGTGATTCACTCTGACCCTCCTCTCAGTCACCCGCCACCCGCACTGTTCCCACCCGAGCCTTTCCTTACCCTCTACCGTAACCTGGCTGGTGCGCCCTTTCCCATAATGCTTTGTCTTCACTTGACTCATCAGACTGTGGCTGTCCCGGCGGCCAGGGCCCCTGCGCAGATTACCACGAGGCAGCTGATTGAATTGTTTTTCTCATCCCAGGCGGGCGGCCACTGCAAGAACATCCCTACCTTGGAGTATGGCTTCTTAGTGCAGGTTAGACCTCAAAGGGAAATTGGCTGGCAGTGGCAAGGGGTGGGGCCAACAGCCGCATTTGTTGTCCTATTCCATCACAACACCTTAGGCCAGGCACGATCGCGGTATAAAATTGTATTTTGTGACGATTCTGCCACCGAACTAGTCCTTATATTCCTTTCATATGATAACTGGGAACACCACTTTCCTCCGAAACAGATAATGAAGTACTCAGAGCAGAGGATCCCCACGCTCAACGAGTACTGCGTGGTGTGTGACGAACAGCACGTCTTTCAGAATGGATCCATGTTGAAGGTATTAAAGATGACAAAGAGGTTTAGAAACCGTATTGGTTAAAAGAGAAACGTTCTGTCTCGCTTCGTAATACGATCCCGTTGATGACTTTGCCAAAATTGTAGTTGTGAGGCAAACGGATAAAGAATAGTAGAGTGTCAATACGTGTGGGCATGAGTGTACTTGTTTGTGCGTAGATGTGTAGAACACAATGAAAAGGGAGCGTTCTCATCCCTCTTTCTGTGCACGTGTGCTTGTGCAGCCGGCAGTGTGCACGAGGGAGCTGTGCGTCTTCTCCTTCTACACTCTGGGTGTAATGTCCGGAGCTGCAGAGGAAGTGGCCACCGGAGCAGAGGTGACAACAAAACAACTCGTATAGCGCATGATGTAGTTCTGCTTTTTTGCAATTTTCTTTTTTTTAGAAGAAGGTGTATATAATGTAAAATAAACAAGACGCAAACATCAAACCCTGCCACATGGGACGATGCTATTTTGTTATTATTTGAAATTGAAATGCACTATGCGGTGGGTTCTTTAGTCTTATCGAATCAATAAAAGGATAAAGAAAACACCTTCATGTGAAGGCCTAAAACATAAATCCATAACACTTCCCTGCAGGTGGTGGACCTACTTGTGGCCATGTGTAGAGCTGCTCTTGAATCTCCCCGTAAAAGCATCATCTTTGAGCCCTACCCATCAGTCGTTGACCCCAATGACCCCAAAACTCTGGCCTTCAACCCAAAGGTCAGCATCCTCAATACAAGAATTGTGATTTCTAGCTAAACCAAGACACGCATTTCATTTTGAACATTTGAACTATTTGGATGTAGTACCAATTGTTTGGCAAACCCTTATCAATACAAGTGATTTATATGTCTGTATGTTGTTCCCTCTCTCATTGCATACAATGGATGTTCGGCTCAACCGATGAACACAGAAGAAGAATTATGAGAGACTGCAGAAAGCGTTGGACAGCGTCATGTCGATCCGGGAAATGACCCAGGTACAAGGAGAAGATGGGATGGGAATGAAGGAAAGGGCCAAGGGAAATAGGCTGCAGATGGCTTCCATCATTTATTTGTTCTTTTATATAAGATCAGCACATGCCCATTACACAGTCCTGTATTTATTAGACAGTTTGAGGTGTGTGGGGTCTTTCCCAACTTTGGTTTTCTATATTACTTATTTACCCTGTAGCTTGACTGCATCTGTATAAGGTCTAAAACACATAGTAGGTTTAGATCGAAACACACACGCTCATTTGGCTTTGGGGAAAAAAATCCTGAAAACCCAGAACAACATCTGTGTGTGTGTGTGTGTGTGTGTCTGTGTGTTTTTCAGGGCTCTTATCTAGAGATCAAGAAACAGATGGACAAACTCGACCCTTTGGCCCATCCTCTGCTACAATGGTGAGTAAAGGGTCTGTTTGCACTGCTTTACACATGTTAGTTAAATACCACAATTATACTTACAGGCTTGTGCCACTTGGCGTTGTTCTCGAAGGATATTTTGACATTTCACAGCAGGAAGTGACGGCTAAATTCCATGTGGCCATTGTTAATGTTCAAAGTAACAACCGTGTTTGACTATTTTGACGAGTCCAAATGGCCTATTGCGTCTCAAGCAAAGTGGTAATGCCTCATTTTTTGCCTTATTTGATTTATGTTTTGCTCATCCCTTTTGTCTTTTTGCAGGATTATTTCCAGTAACAGGTCTCATATCGTCAAGCTGCCTCTGAGTAGGGTAGGGAACCAGAAAAACGTCTCCTCAAGAGCCGATTTTTAAAGAGTATTTTATTACTGCTACATTATGTCATTCAATGGTTCATACTCACTCTCTATCCGTCTGTTTGTCTCTCTCTCTCTCTTGCTCTCACTCGCCCCTTATGATCTCATTGTGATAGCAACTGAAATTCATGCACACCTCCCACCAGTTCCTGCTGCTCAGCAGCCCCCCGGCCAAGGAGGCTCGTTTTCGCACTGCCAAGAAGCTTTATGGCAGCACCTTCGCCTTCCAGTGAGTCCACTTTGCTCCTCTCTCTGACTGACAAATGTAGAGCATTCATACAAGCTCTACATTTTCATCCAATTGAAGCCTATAGAGTGTAAAGCTACAGTTACAGGCTTGAAATAATTTAGGCAATTAAGAGAAATCTGAATTTTTTGGTAGTTATTTTATTGTTTAGCTTGTGTCTGTCGAGAAAATATAAAAACGTATTTTACATAACGGATCTCAAATTAAGCATACTCACTAAAATGCATGCATCATTTGGCCTAACCGCAGTACAGACTTTGGAACATGAACACGTCTCAGTGTAACACCTGGTCATCCTGTTGCGGAATGGGGGAGATCTGTGTTGAACCATAACAAACAGTGAGCACAGAGCAGTGACCATTCTCTTGGACACAGCGCCCACCTTGCTAAGCCAGCACGTGGAGCCAGCGATACCAATGAGATTTGTACCGTAGCAGATGGGGCTTCGCTAAATATTTTACATGCACGCGGCCCATCTGGGCTCTCTCGCTTGGGTACGGCTCACACATGAGCAGCGCTGGCGGTCTCTCTTTTCTTGCTTAATTTCTTGGTTAATACAAAAAAAATATGAACAGGAAAAGACAAATTTGTATGTCAGCTTGGCTGCCGTCTTTTACTATAAATAGAAACATTTGAAAATAAAAATACATTTTCAGTCAGATTAATGAAAACTGCCAAGATTTAGAAAGGAATCCACGAACAGCTGATACTTGTAATTAAAAACTTTTCCCTGTTCCTTTGTTATACTTTTTATACGAAAAAATGATGCTACTTCAAAACTAGTTAAAAATAACAGCAATTGTGACTGCGCTCTCTTTGTTGTAAGACAGCCAGATATCTCCTCTGGGAGACGTATTAAAATAGCACATCCTGTCCTGAAAGGCAGCCGTGATGGGTTGTCATCTTTGATCTTTAAATATTAAATTACATATATTTGGAATTCTTTGATATAGAAACAGATGACAACAGAAGCTGTTTGTGGTTGGCTGTTTTAAAAGCAATGCAAATAAAATGATAAAGTAGAACACTGTAAAGCTAAGTAATAATGCACATTTTCAAGCACAGCTAATTACATAACAATAAATTAAATAACACTCAATCAGCTCCCTTTTTCCGTCTCTTTTTGGAAATCAAAGGTCACGGACAAAATGTGCCACGCAGAGTCACTTTGAACAGAATGGATCCGGCCCACGGCACACCAGCGGTTGCAGCCCGAGATCCGCGCTGTTCTGTATTCACGCAGCGCTTTCATCTGTTCCTTTCTATCTCTCCCTCTCTCTACACTTGCTCTAGTGGTTCCCATATAGAGAACTGGCACTCTGTTCTGAGAAATGGACTAGTCAATGCCTCCTATACCAAACTGCAGGTACGTAGCCCTGGCAGTTGGCTGGAATTTACGAAGCATCTCCTCTCGGACAGCGAGCCTGCTCTCCGATGGAGCAGGCTCGCTGTCCGGCTGATTCATTTTTGCAGTTAATGGATGCCAGCTTCCCTTTTCGTCAGCTTTGCCATCGGCATCTTAGCGAGCGGGGGGCACACGGGTAGATTTTCCTGACCAATGTCGGCTGCTTTGTTTTGCTTTTGTCGACAGCAGCAGACAGCACGTCTCTCCCTGTAGAGGGACAAAGGGGGAGGAGGGGGGGGAGGCTGTGGTGTTTGCTGTGACGTCGGGAGGCTGCCTGTGTGCCCTGTCGGGGTTAACCACCTAGAGCAATGAGTAGGCTAGGTCTGAAGCTGATGGAGGCAAAGGACAAGCCCCCGGGGTAGTAAGTATTGACTCAAGGTGGGTGTGGCCCCCCGCAAAGGTCAGTAACAAGCATCGGTTGCTGGGTCAGGAAATCGCTTAGTTGATACCAGATGGGTAAAATTGATCGAATGAGGGACGGAACTTCACTTCACTTCTTTCACAGCAGAAGCAGAAAATGTTACTTTGCTTTTAAGGTCTGCGTCCGGATCTTTGTATTGTTTTGCCAAGGTTGTCTTAGCACTTTGGGAACCAGAACCGTGAAAGATTCATAAATAAATAAATCAAACAGAAAAGAAGAAGGGAGCACAGAAGTGTCTCATTTGCACAATACTGCAGATTTGACTGAATGCAGATGAAAAACAATTAAACATGAAAACTCTCAAGGATTTGTGGGCCGTATTCACTCGCTCATGCTGATGTCTTTAATTTATGACTTCTTTGTTCTCCAACTTTTTCAACACTCTTCCTTTGAGATTGCCTTAGTGCCTATCTGCCTCCTCCTCCTCCTCATTTCACCTTAAGCATTGACACCCGCCTTCCTCGGTCATTGTCTTTCACGAGATGACATCGCACAAAACCACTTGTCTATCGTTCCTTTTTTGATTTCTTCCAGATGTGCAAAAGTCCCGACCATCTCCCTCACATTTCATTCCCAAACTATCAAGGTGCTCCTCGTTCTCCCTCTTGTTTCTCCTCTGGATCACTTTGGTTCGTCGACAACTCGTCCATGTCGCAGCTGTGGTCCTTTTTGTTGTCCTCATTCATTCTGGACGTTCTTGTTTGGATGCTCAACATCATTGTCAAGTCGTCCTCATACCGAGCCAGCATTTTGTGGTCTCATTTCAGCATTGCTTGAATTCCTGAAACATCCCGTCCACAAATTCCATTCACAAAACTCAAAAAATCTTCTCTGCACGCATTATTTTGCAAGGAGAAAATATGTTGGCAGCTTAAAAGTGAGACTGTGTGGTTTATTGAGTATTTTCAGTGAAAAAATAAAAATCCTTTCTCTCTTTGGCTCTCTGCTACACACTATCTCTGGATATGTGTGTGCGTGTGCATTTAGTCTGTCTGGTTGGTGGTGTTTGTCAGGTAGACTGTAGCAGAAACGTAAAGATCCCTGACTTACACTTCCCTAGATGTAACTACAGTGTGTGAGTGCATTTGTGTGTCTGGGTGTATCTAAGACGTTGTCCTGTGCAACTGCTCAGTGACAAATTCCTTCCTTCCTGCTCTTTTCAAACCCAAGCTGCACGGTGCAGCGTATGGAAAGGGCATCTATCTCAGCCCCATCTCCAGCATATCTTTTGGATACTCAGGTAGGGAACTGCTCATTCCTCGCCACTCAGTCCCCCCCCTCCCCCTCCCTCCTTCTACTTATGTATTCCACCATGTTGACTGGGTACGCGCATTGATTTTAAAACAGCCTGATCATCCTGGAACACTTCATTTTTCACATGCGGGAGCTTCCCATGCGGTCCCAGTGTGCTGCTCTGTGTTGTGTGTTGAATTTGGGTGCTGTGCTTTGGGCCTTTTTTCTCTCTGAGCTTGTGCTGCGATACCATACCATACCATACCATACCATACCATGCATTGTGTCCTGGCTGTGTGAAACGGAGCCGTCAGCGGATCTCCGTGTGTTACTTTGTACTGTTGTTGGAATTTTGCACTACTTTCCGATCACAGGGTGGGGCTGAAGAGGCCATTCAACGTAACTAGTCTTTACCTTACTTCCCCCTGCAATTTTTTCCAGAAACACAATTTTAAAGGTTGGTTTTAAAGTCCCATCACGATCCTGCTGCTGATTTTGTGGACATGCCAAATGCAAGTTCCCTGTTTAACTGTTTTAACACTATCAGCCAACTCCGATGTCACAGTGTTTTGAAGATCAACGTGGAATTCATTTTTATAAGTTAGGGTGGGAAGAAAAAAAAAACAGTTGCTGCCCTCAAAGCCATTTGCCTTACTCAGTCGTTGTTAAAGCAAAGCCCATTAATCATGCTTAAGCTGATTTCATATTTTCCTAGAACTGCAGTTTTTAAAAAGAGAACAGCATCCCTTGCTGGATCAGCTTATGTGCAGGTAGTATTCACTGGTATTTCGGAACAACCTTCACACGAAGGTCAGAGCTTTGGGTAATAATGTCTCTGTACAAGAAGGTCGAGACCACTGGAGGGAATTTTTTTTACAGCTTGCGTGACGTGAGGTCGTTCAGGGTTGTTTGCTGTCTGTGTGCTGCTTCCTGCAGGAATGGGGAAAGGACAACACCGCATGCCCACCAAAGATGAACTGGTGCAGCGTTACAACCGCATGAACACCATACCGCAGGTGGACATTTTACATCCTCCTATTTTCTAAATAACACATTTTGAATCCTTCATACACAAAGGACCACCAACCAGACGTGGAATCATTTGAAGCCTTTAGCGATATCAACATGGATCACCAGATGATGAATATTGTGTGTTATTAGTTTATATAATTAAATATTTTATATATTCAGCATAACCTGCTTCTGACAATTACACAATGGATAGTTTCAGTGTGTAATTCTCATTGTTTCCCTGTGTATCATCAGCAGCATAGTTTATTCATGGTATTCACTGACGCCTGATGGAACTGTTGTCTCTTTTTTTTTTTTTCCCAATAGAGTCGTCCAATACAGTCACGGTTTCTTCAGAGTCGAAATCTGAACTGCATCGCTCTGTGTGAAGGTAATCGTTGGCAGAAGCTATTATATGTGAGATCTTAGGTTATAGTAAATATGTTGCATTAGTATATTTGGTCGTATGGTATTTAAATGAAATACTAAAACATAGAATATTGTTATATTGATTAATATCCCAGTTTAACAGAGTTTAGAGCATCATTATCCTTTGCACTGTGAGATATTTTCCCTGGGAAATCGAGCAATGCATAGTTAAAAAATGTTACATTTTTTTTCATGAGGCTTAGCACATTATGGAACTATGGAGGACAACTACAAAAAAGAGCCAAACAGAAAGAAAAATGTCACAAGTTAGATCATTCAAATCTAAATTAAACTATGTAATTTGGAGTGGATTAATGTGCCGTTAAATAGGGCGTAGCATTTATTGTGAAAGCATCATCATTATACGAGAAAGAAAAAATACAAATGAAGAAAAGATAAACAAAGAAAGGTTGAGCATCAGTTTCTAAAATAACTGGGCCCTCAAGCTCTACAGCATCTCACGCAGTATAATATTATATAATATGAACGGCAACATTATTCCTTGCAATGGTAAATAACTAGAAAGTAATGTACAAAATAAAAAAATGCTTCTCTCTTCAACAGTTATCACTTCTAAGGATCTGCAGAAACATGGTAACATTTGGGTGTGTCCCGTTTCGGACCACGTCTGCACTCGTTTCTTTTTTGTGTAAGTATTTCAGACACTTTGAAACTCCTCTCCTGATTTCTACATAAGCAATGCATAATTACCAAAGTCGTCTGCTGCAGTTTTCCCTCACTGCTCATCTAAATCATTTTAAATTAACCGAGAACAAGTGACGGTTGAGGCGTGTTACCGCTTCGCTAAACCGGGTTGCCATTGAGCCGTATCAGTCCGATGTTTTTAAAACTGTGTTTTGGAGCTCAGCGAACGGCACACGGCATCCACGCTGGCTGCTGATGTCATAGCTTGGGACACGGGCCCTTCGCCGGCGGACAACGCCTATTATCATGTCTGCTGTCTTCTGAGTTGGAAATTAGATGTGAGATGGCCTGCAATCAAATTCAAATCTCAGCTAAATATAATTTAATTCTGACCCTGTTCTCGGCGTACGGTCGTGTTTCTCTGCCTGAGGAAGACGTTGATACGATTACAATAAAACCCAGAAGATTTGTTGTGCCAGACCTGACAGCGCCCTTTATAAAATCACTGCAATTCACTAGACGCTCATTTGTCTATGGATAGGTTACCTTTCTATCATCGGTATAATGTTTTGCTGATGTAAAAAAAAAAGAAAACTATTGCTGCGTTTCTTAAAACTGGGCCCTTACACCACCAAGTAGTAGAAATATTGAGCTAGTGAGCGAGAGGGTTTGATACAATCTCAGGCAGCAATTGAAAACAAAGCATATGTCTACTCGTCTATTGATTACGTGCAGGTATGAAGATGGCCAAGTAGGAGATGCCAACATCAACACCCAGGAGCCTAAGGTGCAGAAGGAGATCATGCGTGTGATTGGGACCCAGATCTACTCCAGCTAATGCCGGTTTCCCATGAGCCTCTCTGGCGGCAGGCAGACAGCGAATGTTTTGGCGAGCTGACCTCGGGCCCGACACCGAAGGCGGTGGGGAGCTCTTGAGCACATTATTTATACTGTTGTTGTGTTACGGCCCTTTTCATTTTCATTTCCCCTTCTGCAAGCGGCTACACATTTCATGTTCAGATTTAACCTGGTTAGAGGCGGCCTGCTTTTCTCAGTTAAAGCACCAACGGAGAAGAAAAGGCAGCAGTCACTGCTTTGGCTCTCCACACATGTTCCATAGACTCGGCGTTCCCCTTCCTTTTGTGCACTGACTGATCTCGGATCATTTGTACTAATTCTTTTTATCATTTCTATTTGTGAAAAAGAAAAGTAAAAAACGAATCATTCCAAACATTAATTAGATCCCTTTTGTGGCAAATAATCGATGGATTTACATGCACATTACTGTGTTTGCAAAAGCGTGTTTTCTGGTGGGTTTATTAAATATGATTTGACTAATGACATGAATTACGGTCCGTGACATGGTTGATTGAGGGGCGAGCGCTGCTCTGTCATTTTGTCCCTGTTCACTCCCAGAATCCAATAAGTGAGGTGTGGCTGGAACTCATTTTACATACACTGAAGGCACTTTTTGGTAACATTATCAAATGTAAAAATTCAGCTGTCGAATTTATTTTACAGAATCAGGACAGTTCTCATTATTAGAGCACTTTCTAACCCTCACAGTTTAGAGTTAACAAAGAGAACTTTTATCCAGCTGGACGGGTGTGACATAGAGGCCTCAACGGTCACTCAAATGAAATGAAAAAAGACTACAATGAATTTAATCTTTGGCCGTGTTATATATGTTGCGTCTGATCCAGGTTCACAAAGCTACTACCACATTCTGTCACTGGTCTTCACCCTTTCTTTATGTTCAAAAAGGGAGATTTTTGTGAATGAACAACACTTCCCATTGGAGTCACAAGTTAGAAAAGCCACTGTACAGGATCATGGACTATTTTACCGAGCGATCTACTAGCAGGATCCAGTGCAGGTGAGCTCACATCCTCACCCGAAGGACGCTGGATGTTATCGATCGGCATTAATGTGCTACTCTATTGTTTCTCCTTGGAGAGTGGCAACCTTGTATAGCTAATCCAGTTTATCAGTTAGTCATGTACTGTATGTATGTATGTATGTACGTGTGGGTTTGTATTTTCTTGACATTATACTAGGGATTGCACTTATTCAACGTTTGCCTAAACTGGGAAATGGACTGTCCTCGGACCTGCAGCAGAGGGTAGTCAGAGACGAGTGGTCAACGGATTCATGGCCTCAGGGAGACGATAACATCCGACATCTTAACCCTGTCTGTGCTGAGATGGGCTTTTGGCGTCTCCTTGGACTAAAGATTCCGGCTTCTCGACGGACTTCAAGGCACTGAGATGGTGGATTGCAGAAAAAGGACATTGGACAGAAAGAAGTGGACATTTAAAATTCACTCACTGTACTGCGGGACTGTGCTCAGTAGCTGATGGCTGTTTTGTCCAACAGGCTTCGGCCGCGAGAATCTATTCTCTGGCTGTCGGTCCCTGGAGAATACTGCTTTCACAGATGATGTTGACGACAATGATGGTGATGATGACGATGATGATGAGAGGCGATGATGCAGAAAAATATAAATAAAGCCTGATTTTGCACAGTTTTACATACGGTCTACTTTTCTTTGACGGCTCTGGCTGAAGCTTTTTATTAGCATTTTGGGCAGAAGGGGGCACCATTACTCCACCAAAACAAAGACTCACTTCTCTATTTCCTCGCAAGGCTATTATTAAAATCAAATCATAATTTCACAGTATAATTACTTGAAAAGGTTGATGCATTTGGAGGTGAAGTATGATTTTTTTTACGATTGTACTTTGCTTTCTTTGGATACTACAACGCACACAAACAGTGTTGAGTTTTTTCCCATTTACCTTTTGTTATTTTATTCTAGTCGTGTATACTACACATATAACTGTTATATAACAACATTGGGTCAGAGTAAATATATATATTATGCATCAGATTAGCATGAGCAATACTAGCTCTCTAAAAATAAATAGCTATATATTGGTTGTACACCACATCCTCCTAAACTTACTTAATAATTAAAGTAAATAGACCACAGTCCCCCAGCTTGATTTCCTGATTCAAACATATTTTCATTTGAAAAGTTATTGATTTAGTTCTGATGGAGGTGGTGCAGGAAAGACCAATATGTGATGTACCTACCGGCTTGCTAAAGCTACATCTAATCGATTGATCGCATCACAAATTCATCCAAGTTCACATTGATTTCCTCAAATCTAATCTCTGCTGTTTGAATATGGCAGGGTTTGCTTTCACCTCGGAGAGAGCATGTCACTAATAGTTGGTGACGAGCCAATTGCTCACTCTGTCCTTCCGCTCTCTCTTTCTCTCTCTCTCGCTCTCTTTCTCTGACCACAGAGAGCTCTCCTCTTTCAAACCAGCTGAACACGTCTCCCGGCACTCTGCTGGAAAAAAAAAAAAGTCAAGTCTGATGGCTGTTTTGGCAAAGGAGGCCCTGTGTGTCTGTGTATGACAAGTGCTGGGTGTGTAGAGAGCATGGCATAATCACGGGGAAGCTGAAGCACTCATGGGCCCTTGAAAGGCACTTTATGTGTGTATTTGTGGCTACGGTAATTGGGCCCCTCCCTTTGTAAGCTGACCCATTTGACAGGGCCCTGTGGCTGGGCCCGTGTTACCGATGTTCTGCGTATGTGTGTGTGTGTCGCTGTGTGACTACCACACTATGTGTATGGTTCACGTGTAGCTATGATCTCTGAAACACGGCCCTCATGTTGGACACGGTCCCCTGGTTTGGCTGCGTCCCCCATTACCGACGCCAGCTGGCTGGTGGCACACAACTGCACATCGCTTCGATCCAACCGGGGCTTGGTCGTCCTGCTACAGTTCAACCGTCGGCCACTGGGGGGAGCTGTGGTGTTATTCTACTTTGCTTTCTTTGCATACTTAACGCAAACATACACACACACACACACACACACACACACACACACACACACACACACACACAGGCGCACACAGCGGGCGCTAGCACACACATGCAGGTAAACACACATACTACACAGTGTTTGTTTGGTCAAATAAAGGAGTAGTGACGGGAGGACAGAAGGTCATCGAGGGGGTCTGGCCTTCGGCGGAAGGGGCCACTCCCAACCTCCTCCTCCTCCTCCTCCTCCTCCCCTGCCTCAGTAATAAGTGTGACCGTTTGATTTCTGCACAAAAGGAGCAATTACAGGGAGTTGTTTAATCACCCACACTTTTATTGAGCTCGGGGTCTCTTAGCTTGCAGCTCAGGCCCCCGCCGCCGGCAGCAGCGGGCGACAGAAGTGACAGAGAAGGTCGGTGGTTTAACGGGGCGCGAAGGGGTCTCGTTTGAGTTAAGACTTTGCAGGCCACTCTGCACGCTGCAGAGGCCCCCGGGACGGAGACAAAGAGGCAGACGGCACGAGAAGACAAGCTGGCCAGCCAGGCAGAGAGATAGATGGACGTAACGCAGAGGCGGAGACTACAGAGGCCTGAGTTTGGGGGACTTATCAGAACGGGACCCACTTTATTTGCCAAATGGGATAAATGTGCAGGAGTTCCTCGTGTGTTTGCGCTGAGATACGGCGTCAATTTATGGAGTGACACAAAGCAAAAGAGGTACATGGCAGTGGCACTTGTTGAGCAGGAGATGCGCTATCTAACGCTGTTGTTTCTCTTTTTTCCTTTATTTGAAATGCCTGCAACGAGCTCTGGTCTGATCAAAGCACAGACGTGATTCCTGAACCTTTCAAGCAGTGTAGCTTGAGAGGACTTGTGCGGACCCTCTGAGCTCAGGGATGGCATACAGAAATGTGTTTTAACAGGGAGAGGGAGAAGAAAAACAACAGAAATTCGATTTTCTTACTTTACAGTCAGCCCGGAGCACCAGTAAGCCCAACTCCCATTCAAAACAGTACCAAGAACTGTCAGTGTTGGTGCCCTTTATTGAATTTTCAGCCCGGGTGTTACTCTATATTTGTGTGCATGCCGAGTGCCACCTCCCTCTTCGGCCTGAATGTGAATGATGGAGTACAAGTTCTTGCCTTGTTCCTCAGAGATGGCGAGGATGGTTATGTGAGGCGTAAAAGAAGGGGGTGGCAAAAAACGACCAAGGTGAGACAGGTCTGTGTGTGTGTGTGTGAGGGGGGGAGAAGAGAGGGAGAGGCAGAGGGAGGAAGGGAGTACACCATTGCCGCTCATAAAGCCAACAGCTGTGTGGGTAATGTTTTGTGACACCGAGGCTCTCCGAGCCCTTCTGTTTCCCAGAGAGCTCGGAGACGCCGTATTCCGTCGTCACAAATGGCTCTGTCATTCACCCCCTAAGTCTTAATTATCGCTCCCGTTTTCTTTTTTTTTCTTTTTTTTTGGGCCACGTTCTGCTCAGGATCCATCTGCACGCTGTATAATTTCCACGCCGCAATTTACAAGTGGCATTTATTACAATGGCCTCCGCGGCATCTCCTCTTTAACACCGGCAGCCCTTTGCTGAAAGACGAGAGTGGGGGGGGGGAAACAAAAGAGCAGTGCAATCTGGCAGCAACAGGGCCCACCCTCAGTTCCCTCACATCTCTCTCTTCTGCCCCCCCCCCACCCCTTCCTCCCACCCTCATCTGTATCCTTGCTCTGTAGTACTATCTCTCCACCCCCGTACTACAAATTTTTTTTGCGCTTCTGCTGCTGTGTGTGTGTGTGTGTGTGTTTTTCCCTTTGTTATTAATTTAATTTTTATGGGATCCACAGTCCTCGTACAAACCGCCCCCTATCTGCCTCCAAGCAGAGGAAAAGGAAATAGCTGATGTTGATTTTCTTTCCCCCCCATCGTAATTCATTTTGGATTAATTCCCCTGTCTTCAGAGACAATCCTAATTCTTTATTATTTCCACTTCACAGGCTTGATGACATCCCCATATCCACATATCACATCCAGGGGAAACTTTGCACCCAGCAGACCTTCTTGTTTTCTCCTCTCTTTTCCCTGTCTCCCCCTCCTCCCCCTCTCTTTCTTTCTTTGTGATGCTCCTATGTGTCTCTCCCACTCATTTTTCTGTCTTTCTATCCATTCCTCTACATCCTTCAGACTTTGTTTTTCTCACCAGAGTGAAGTTACTTGTTAGTTTCCACCCAGCCGCCGGGCTCCCATCTTCTCAACAGGAGTCGACCGCCTGTCTCACGCTCTCACACACGCCACATCTTTCTTTTAATACCATATCATGTGTGCGCGTGTATGTACTGCACATGTTGCCTATGTCCTCATTCAAAGTGGAATAAAACAAAGTGTTCATTGCCTTCAAGTGCGGCGGAAAAAAACAGAAAACGTACTTCATTGTGTCACTTGCCTTCGCCTCCTCGTGTAGCGCTCCACAGTACTTGTCTCCGACTCCCTCACTCCTCTCTACCGTTGGAGATGCTCGTTGGGAGATGGACACTCAAGCACATCATATAGCCGCTCTCCTTCAACCTTCATGTCTTGCCTCTCTATCTTTTTCCCTCCCGGCCTCTCTTCCCCCTCATCTCTCGCCTCGTGATTTTCTGCCTCTGCACTTCACTCTCCCCTCTCACACCTCGTCCCCTTTTCCTTATCTTTCTCCCCTCTGCATCTCCCTCTCTGTTTTTTTTTCCTGTCGACCTTTCTGCCTTTCCAGGTCTGTTTCTCTCTGCTTTGTGATGCCTCTGTATTTTTTTTCCGGGTCGCGTCAGGCTGTGTCTCAAATCAAATTCTTCAGGTTTTTAGTGACCATTTTCGCCGCTGCCGCTGGTGCTCTCCTTTGTCCCACATCTACCGAGCACTCACGCACACACACACACACACACACACACACACACAATGTCCCATCTCCAATTCACTATTAAGTGGGCCCAGAATTTCCCCTGAGCTCTGGTATGGTGGCGGCCGCCTCTGGAGTCCGGCTGTGCTAGATGTGTTGTCTGCTCCCTTACCATTCAATTACCCTCCTGTAATCTGACAGGCTCCTCATGGCCTGCACCGGGACAATCCCTTGTGTGTGTGTGTGTGTGTGTGTGCCTCTTTTTCTATGTGTCTGCCTGATGTTATATCTGTCTCTCTGAGTGTATTCCTTCTGTTCAGATACAAGGAGAAGCATGGATTCTTTTGCATTGTTTCCTTTTCTTTTCGAATTCTTTCCTTATTACTTCTAGTCTGGATCTCTTCACGGAAGTCACTTGACATCCTGCTGCACCCACAGAAACACACAGAATAAATAAAAAGTCTCACATTTTGTTCTCTTATGTTCTGCTACTATTTTGCCCTGCGATTGACCTCTTATTCCTTTATCGCTCTTTTTCACAGCACATTACTCAGCCCTCTCTCTCTCTTTGTCCATCATTTTATTAATCACTGTTCTTGTGTTCGTGTTTTCCTTTAAAAAAAAAAACTCCATCTACTCCCTGTGTCTCTTTGCCCCCTCTCTCGCTCTTTCTGTCCTCACCAGGCAGGCTGGCGCTCGGTGTTGACCTGAGAAGGACTGACATTCAGAGGCCGGTCCCCTGCCTGCAGCACTGACATTTCTGCCAGACTTTGATGGCGCCTTTGAACAGAGATGTGTGGAGGGAAGAGCTGCCTGTCTCTCTCTGACT